TTGTCGGCCACGCCTACTTTAGGGTGGGCGGGCCTCTAAAGTTCAAAATATTTATGGCTATATCTCGAAAAATATACATTTGTTTGGCATATATGTAACATGATATACAAAATGGACCCATTATAGGTCAATTTTGGGAAACATAATTTTTGACCCGATATTTTTGAGGTTTATATAAAAAATCGGAAAAAAATTCCTTTATAGGTAAGTATATAGTAAGATATTGAGCTTTTTATTAAGGTATAATATGTTTTTGTAAGTATTATAGTTCCTGAGATATTAATAATTTAATTATGATTTTGCTATTAAAACAAAACGTATGTATACTAATCTTTATTAAGCGAAGCTGGTGTTGGACATACCATAGATAAGAAAATCCTTGCGCTCGGCCGTAGGCCGTCTATTTAGGGAATCTCCATACCATAGAGGAGTAGACCGGCTATTTAGGAAATCTTTATTAAGCGAAGCAGGTGTTGGACATACCATAGAGGAGAAAATCTTTACTAAGCAAAGAAAGCCGTGTAAACAAAAAATATTTTTAAATGTTCAACCCTATCTTAAGCTTACTAAACATATATTTAGTTTGACATTTATATAAAAAGTATGATGATATGTAAATTAAATTATAAAATAAATGGTTTTTGAAATCAAATATCTCTTTCATTTGATTAGATACAGAAATGGTTTATACCTTAAATAAAAGCTTAATTCATTGGCTATTAACATATAAAAATTTATAATAGAATTATATAGACATTTTTTTCGATTTCATTTAGATGAAAAAAAAGTCGGGTCAAAATATATATTTTCCGGAAAAAACCCAAAGTCGGTCCATATTTTAGTATATATATCATTGGAAAGGTATTTTTAATACCTTTAATTTGATGTAAACATTTTTATTGTTAGCAAAACAGTTTTCGAGATATACACAAAAATGTATTAAACTTTGGAGCCCCGCGCACTCGAAAGTAGGCGTGGCCGACAAAAAAAATGTTGTATCTTTTATCGTCTCAAAATGCTCTATATTGTTTTTTTTTAGAAATGTCACTAAAACCGACTTGTTCCACTAAAGCTATATAAATATTTTTCCAAAATATTTCCTTTCTTCCGGCATCTTCTCACGACAAAGATCTTTATAATTTCCAGATGAACCGAATTACATGAAGGTAGATAGGAGGGTGTATACAACATCATATTTGAAGAGACGTTATACGATCTATGACGATGTTATCATCATATGTTTAGAAATTCAGTTTTCGAATGGAATTCTTAAGAATTTTCCAATTAGTGTTCGTGAAGTATGTTATATCAAGAATAATATCGCTCCGAAGATATTTGGATCTAATTTTTAAGAAAGCCTGGCAATAACAAAAAAAGTGCTCTTCTTGTTTCTCGCTCCGATAGATGTATATTTAGATAATGATAACCTCGTGGGATTGAATTAAACTGTCTTCTTCCGTGTTGATAGTCACCTTCTCGTTCTTTTTAATGGACACCTTGCCTAGTTTGGAAATGACAGCTACAATGTGTTCTGACGAGCTTTTAGGATTTGACTCTTCAACGTTACATGTAATTGATGTGGGCACCGCCCTAGGTATATCGGTGTCTTGCTTGTTATAAGAGTCCTTGCCATCGACGACTTCTTAATTTTGAAGATGACAGCTTTAGAAGAGAAATAAGCCCTAAATTTGTTCTTGACAATACTATCCTTGGAGTTCTGGTGGATGTCTATTTCAAGTAGAGTACCCTCAGGTTCTTATTTCCTGTAAAAGACATTTCATTTCTGCACGGCCGTTTCAATAAGCGCTCATTAGTGATTTTACGGAGCCATCCTCTTCGTCGAGGCTTGTGTAATAACCCTTTCCAGTCGACACTTTCCTAATTTTGAAGATGACAGCTTCAATAGTAGTTGTACTGTCCCATCATTTTACCAGTCCCAGATTGGCGCGTCCCAGGGAAGATTCCACCAAGTTCTTCAGGGTTTCTGAACATTGGTTAGATGCCAACATCATCGACATCAGGCTCACTCTGAAATCGCAGCTAACGCTTTTTATTGCTTGTTTGCCCTTTCGTCGAGGCTTGTGTAATAACCCTTCCCAGTCGACACCTTGCCAATTTTGAAGATGACAGCTTCAATAGTAGTTATACTGTCTCCCTTCCCAGTCGACACCTTCCCAATTTTGAAGATGACAGCTTCAATAGTAGTTATACTGTCCCATCATTTTACCAGTCCCAGATTGGCGGCGTCCCAGGGAGGATTCCACCTAGTTCTTCAGGGTCTCTGAACATTTTTTAGATGCATCATCGATATCAGGCTCACGCTGAACTCGCAGCTAACGCTTTTTATTGCTTGTTTGCCCTTTGAAGCGGTTGCGTCTACTATCTTATTGTAGAGCAAGCCTACATTACTGGTCACTTGGTATTTTCCCTGTGGGATTACTAGCAATGTATACTGCATAGCAGAGATCGTATTGGCGTCTTTTCTTGGCAACTTTGGCGTAAGATTGTGGCTCTTCTCCTTGTTTACTGTCTAGCTTCTTTTTCCTCTTTTCTTTGGGGATTCTTAACTTCGAGGTTGATTTCGTTGACGTGCTCATCTTCGGAAGATCTTGTTTGGCTTTATTACCTTTACCCGCTGGATTCTGATTTAAAACTCCTTTCAATGAGGTATAGCTTGGCCTAGTCCGTAAATTAGAAGATGGAGAGCTATTTTTCTTCTTTAGATTTGTTCTCAGCCTTCAGCTTTTCAGGAGATCTGATGCAGTTTGCTTCAGATATTTATATAGAACTCGTTATATTCTTTGGAGTGTCGTGGGATTGACTCACTATGATTCTCCTCTGTGCTCCATAAAGTCGTTTTTTGGTTGTCGGTACCTATGCTAAGCATTACTCAACTTCTTCACTATTCGCTCTACTTCAATATTATTATCTAATTATACTTATAAGTAAAAACTCATATAACTTATAGCTATATCCGATTACATCCTTCCCTTTTACCTCTACATTTTATGGCATGCTGTACAGTTGATCTACTGACGGCTAAGGTCAAGGTATTCACCTTGAATAGGTGAAGTTGTCTTTTACCGATGATGGCAGGATGGCGACGACACATAACTCGCAACAGATCAACACTTATCACCGGTACTGGATATTTACGCCCTGCACAATAACTTTAATATTATTATTTTTACTTTCCATAGTTGTTGTCAGTTGATAAAGTTTAATCTAAGATTATATTGGATTGCCAGAAAGTTCTAACAGAATACTCTCCCAGAAGTAAGGTTTATATCATATGGGTACCAGGCCACTCGGAAACGAAAGAGCGAATGTATTAGCTTTAAAGGGAAGGGAGCTCATGGTAGTTAACCTGATAAATGGAAAACCATTTGACGCAACGAAGGAAGGACTAAAAATTTGAATGAGAGAAATCCATAAGGCCTCTTGGTACAATGAAACGGTGGGTAGAACCGCAAAGATCATATGGAGTGACCCTAACGAGAGTAGGACGAGAAGCCTCATCTAAATGAGCAAGTCTGACGTTAGTATGATGGTAACTATTCTGATTGGACATACAGGATTACGGGGACACTTTTTGGAAGTGATATTATTCTGAATATAACATTTCTCACGAACACTAATTGGAAAATTCTAAGGAATTACGTCCAGAAAATTGAATTTCTGAACATTGAAAGATGATACATTCTCACAAAAATGCCTAAGAATTACGTCCAGGGAACTGAATTTCTAAACATCGAAAGATGATACATTCAGTGATGACTGTGTTTTTTACCAACAAACTATTTTCTTCCATGAAAAGGAGTGCACAACAGGCCCGAAAGTGACCTAGTTTTGGTTCTTCGGATTTCATGTAGTTACATTCTCCCATCAACCTAACCTAGTTTTTTTGTTTTTGTTTTAGAGGAACATCCTGGTATCCAATTTATCATCCGCGGGGAATATAAGATTCGCAGTTGGTGAACTATCTGTCGACCCTAAACTGAAGTGAAACGATAGCTGAGAGAAGACAGATTGTCTATCACCATCCCTATAACACATGTAAAATTTAAAGAGCGAAATACCACATTAGACGTTTGAGTTATCTTACCAATTAGAATTTATCGATAATTTTTATCGAGAGTATATCATCAGCTGTTTGTTTTTATTTTATTGTATTAAAATATCATAACACTAACCTATAGCCAAGACTGTACAAATGGCAATATCTTTTTAATTATTCAAATTAATGAAATTTAAATGATCAGCAATATTGTCAGTTATATCTTGTTTATATATAATTTTAATATCATTATATCAGTACATTATTAGGCATAAATGTTGTTAAATTAATAATAATATTATTAATTTAATAAATCTTTTATTACCTTTTCACACACAATAATCATAAATAAATAAATGAATTATTCCATAATACTCTACTGCTAATGATTTGCATTAATATCAGAAAAGTATTCAAATATATTTATAATGGAGGGTATTAAAATCATTCATTCATTTAACATTTAATTGTTAACGATTATTTGCACAGACAAATCAAATACGGTTTATATATATATTTGTGGTATTTAATATTTGTTCGCGAAAATTTCTATTTCAAAATGGTTATGAACAAATATTAAACTGTTTACGTATTTGAGGGTCAACAAACGATATCCACTATAAATTTATTAGGAGCTGATTCTGAGAAATTAAAATTTGTATGTATTTGCATTTCTTGGGAAGTAATAAAAAATACAATAATTCATTTCCATATCCCTTGAATTTTATTAATATTAAAAAATGAGAATATGAAATATACAAATTCGTGCTAGTTTCTTTTAATATGCCAGATTTTTTACTATATATGTATTTGAAATAATGACAGGTCTTTAAGTTTTAAACATCTTTCGTTTGCTAACAAAATATTCATTTAAAAAACTTTTCACGCCATAGTGTTAAACACAATTCTAAACAATGTCATGTCATTGTTATTTTTATTGCAGTTTTTGGAATTTTGCGCAGCTTGGATTGTCTCAAATATCGTTTAGATCCGGATGCTTATTCCGATGAAGCCCACACGATCAGTGAACGTGATGGATCCCTCTATGTGATGGCAACCAAAAAACACTACACAAATGGTCAATATTGCGTAGAGAAAATACGCAACTCCTCGTGGGCCGATCAAAAGGTAAATTTGACCAGTATGGTCTCTCAATACTCTAATTTCTCAACAAAAAAATTGTTCAATGTTTTACGATAAAACTTTTAAATTAGTTGTACACATTTCTTTGCTTCGATTCAAAAGTGGTTGGAAACGATCGTATACGTTTTAAGGTCTACACCATTGGTTTACTGATATCATGTTCATTTTATGCCATTACGCTGTTGGTCTATTTGTCTATAGCTAAATTGCGTAATTTACCCGGAAAGATATTGATCTGTTTGGTGAGCAGTTTGTTTACAGCATATTTGGGCATTGCCCTGGGTCAACTGATGCCAACGCCAAACGATACTGTGTGTTTTGCATCAGGTGAGTGTTTAAATATTTCTTTGAGTAAATATTTGAATTATTTACGGATTTTAATATTCTGTTTTCTAGGTTTCTTTATATATTTTTGTTTAATGGCAGCATTTTCTTGGATGAACGTCATGTGTTTCGATATCTGGCAGACATTTGGGTAAGTTAAATATTTGTCTCTTTACGTTTTCTTTTTGGAAATACCGTTAAGTATTGATATAAAAACTCGATACTTTAGAGCTGCATTTCTTACATCGAGTATTAGACGTAACTCGATCCGTGCTTTTTAGTCCAAAATAACTTTGAGACATTTAAGGGTTAAATAATTTAGCAAGCTTAAGTATTACATGCCTAGAAATCATACAAACTAAATGCATTGTTTAGTAATCTTAATCCTAATTAGGATCAGTCTACAATTGACCCTATCTTCTTATAAAGCCATTCCAAAAAATCCGACATAAATTCTTTATTTTAAAAAACATTTATTGCTCTATAAAATGTTCCTTTCACTTTAACCGATAGTACCGAACATTCATACAACTCGTATTAATTTATACATTTGAATGGAAGCAATAAAAAACTTTTATTAATCTATAAAACTAAGCTCCTACCAAGTGCATTCCCAGTTATTAGGTATGGAGAGGTGTATAACAATATATTCTCTCTCACCAAATGCCTACCACCGCAAAAAATCGCGTAATCTCTGGAAACAGAAAGAAATCGGGCTAAATAACTCAGTAACGGCTGTAAAAAACTATTTAGAAGGTGGGTAAAAGAAAGGTGAAAAAGAAGATTTTACTTAAAGAAAGTTCTAAGCAACCTGAGCCCTCACATACAGTCTATGATTTCGGCTCTGAATCCTCAAATGATAATAACAGCACCTAATCCCGACAAGGAAGTATGATCGAATAGGCGTTTAAAAGCATATAAAAGTACCGACCAGCGAAAAGGACAATATCCCAGCAAAAAAAATTTTCCAAAGAAGCGAAAAAGAAGTAGAATTTACTCCATGGAAGTACTGAAAAAGACCTGAAGAATGATGATTTTAACACAGGATTGTCATAGGAGGGATGTTCTTTTTATTTGATTCCAAATTCACTACTTCTGAAATCATTCTCAGGAACTCATTATTATGCTCTTTTTTGAAAGTTATTTGGAAATACACAAACCCAAAAACAAAATTTTTTTAACTCGCAAAAATGTAAGAACAAAAAATATATCTTCAGCATTGAAAAAATAGAATTATGTACTCTTTTTCGGAAGTCATTAAACATCACTTTCACTGAAGTTATAAAAATTCACTAAGTGCTACTTTTGAAGTGGTGACAAATGTTATTACTTTGGAAGTACTTCGTTTTATTTTTACTGGGATGCTTCAGATGAAGTTGAAGAAGATGCTCGAGAAGATTCTAAGATATTCCGGATTCTTTCTCTAGACAGAGTGGTAATAGTAAAAGGAAAAACCAAGCAAGCTGTAATGGAATCAACCTTCGAGGTTGGAATCCTCAACTAACGCGAGAGAAATGGGAAGAATGCGAAACGGGAAGATACTCGAGAAGATTCTAGGAGAATCCGGAGAATATTTGGGATACTTTTTCCAGACAAAATTCTACAAGTAAGAGAGAAATAGTCAGGCAAGTTGATGTGAAAGCGAGCTTGTCCCCGAAATCAACTTCAAAGGAAAGGATATCTAAAAGAAATCCCCTGCAAACGGGGAAGTAGAAGATTGAAAGGGCAAAGTTATCTTATGCTAAAGTAGCCAAGAGAAGACATCAGGACGAAATCGGAAAAATTCTTATAGATCAGTATAGAAGATAGAAAATTTGGTCAACAATAAGTGGGGGCAAACAACCAAAATATAGCATGAGCATTATGATGAATGCTTGCTCTCTTAAGAGTTTGGTGGTAGCGTCCCTCCTTAATACGGCACTAAACTGGGACTAGTTGAGACTGTAAATTCAAACTGACTATGGAGAAGTGGAGGGTTTTCACAGAAAAGAATACTGATGGCACTATTCTTAGGGTTAGTGTTAACCAGGACTCCATAGCCTTGCCTTGAACATGTCTTAATTCTCCTCTGAAGCTGTCAACTTTAAATTGGTAAAGTGCCAAATAGAAGGTCTGTTACGTCGACGACAGAAGGTAATAAGGGCTTTAACTTCCTTATTGAAGTTTAAAAGAGCCCCAACTGTGAGAGTTATGGTAAGCTCTGCACCATATATATAATGGATAATTTTGCAATGATAGAGCGAAAATACTAAAGGGAATTGAGTTTAAGGAAGTTTTGCTGGCGAATACAAAAAAGTTTGACGCAACGAGGGTTGGCTCCGATATTCACTTAATATAATGGAATGATAAAACCGCTAAAATCTTATGGGGTAAAGCAATATTCAATCATCAAAGGTTTACAGGCACAACTATACAAAATTGAACGAATTTGAAGCATGCACATAGGACTGTGAAACGCTGAAACAGTCATTTTGTTATCGTAAACATTCGTCGAAATCAGATCCAAATATCTTGGTATGATGTTTCAGTTATTACATCCCTCAGGAACACTGGCTGTAAAATTTTTAGGAACAATGAACATCGAGTTGGTAACCCAAATGAGAAAAGGTTGAGAAGCCTCCTCAGAAAAATAATCAATATTTAGTAGGATGGAACTTATTCTTAGTAGACACACAAGTTTAAGGGCACAACTATACAAAACTGGACTAACGGATTCAGTCGAATGTAGAGCTTGCGGAGAAGACAGTTAAACGCTAAAACACTTTTTCTGTCATTGTCAAGTTTTTATCAAAATTAAATGCAAATATTTTGGTATGATATTTCAGATATTACATCCCTCAGGAACGGTAATTGGAAACTTCGCAATTAAGTTTCTGAATGTTGAATGAATTTTTTCCTAGATCTCTATGTATAAGTTTTCCACCAACATTGTTCATGCACAGCAGGCTGAATAGCTGTATTTTCTCTATAGTTTAGTCTACGATTACTTTAAAGCCCGATAATGCTCGATATAATGATAAAATTCGAGATTTTATTTACACCTAATTATAAAAAAATGGGAAAATATGTATACCCTTTAAGAGAGAATTAATCTTTATGAATATTTAAAAAAGCTTTAAATTCTAATGAATACAAATTTACTATCCCTTAGTAAATAAATATTAAAGTTGCGAAATATTCCTCATACATTGTCTAGTTGATAAAGGTTAATTAAATTATTTTTTATAAAGAATAAAAAAACACACAATAGCCATTCATGGTCTTTGATTAGTCGCCGCAGAAACATAAATGAATCGAATTAATACCACAGCTGCTTCGTACTATGTATGTATGTACATATGTATGTATGTATATCACATATTTTTTTTGCTTGGTCTATTTATCTAATTTAGTATGTCATTTAATTAATTTTTACATAAAAAAAGAAATGAAGTCACTCCCCTGTGGTCTGTGTATGAACTATTGCCCAGACAAAACAAAAAATATACAAAAATTAACACCTATTTTTTGTTACTTTTGCTTGTTTATACGTTATGTTCTTAATTTTATTAACTTAATAATTACAAAATTTTCGCACATTTAAAAAATACCCCCCAATGGACAAATTAGTAGTTTTTTTAATGTTCACTATATAACAAAAACCGTTAAATTTATTATGACGTAGAAAGTATTTAATTCTATTAATATTAAGAATACAACAATTTATTTAAGTAAATTTTAATGTGTAATTCTTATCAACTGCTGTCATATTTGTGAATTATTTTTACGACTCTTATTGTTTACATTCAATGATGATGGATGTCATAAAACTAAATAATTTATATTTTCCCCAGAAATAAATGTTCACTTAACGCAAATTAATGACATTTTTTGTGGGTTCAATAATTGCCACTTAATGATGAAAGTCAATATTTAATAGCGTGTTGTTTTTATTATTTGTACATTAAATACATATCTATTACATTCTTATTCTACATCCAAAAATGTAATTCTACGTATACATTAAGGTGGCACCCACTTTTATAATTTTATAATATGTAAATGTACATTTTTACGTATACATATAATTTCCATTTTTATTCAATTGATGAAGGAGTGACAAACGACAAATTGCTTATTAGAACATTTTTCCTTAAGAATTGCGTGGAATGAGAATGGACAAAAATGTTAAATGTAAATACATACAGTGTATCAACTATGTTTTTTGCCTACCTTTTTTAAGAGAATTTTGTTTTTTGTTCATAAATAAAATTCCAAAAAACAGGTAAATAGTAAATTTATGTTTTGCAATTGAAAATAGAGATTGTGTAGAATGAAAAAACCAAGAAAAAAATATTAAAATAAAAATTTTGGTGCATTTGTTGTTGCATTTTATTATTTTTCATCAGAATTTGCACGTCAATAAATTATTTTGCATATTGAAATTTCCAGTTAATTTTGTTGGGTTTTTCAAATTATATTTTAATTGCTTTTTGGAATTTATTGTTTTATTGTTAAAAGGACACCTGTTAAGTATTTTTCAAAAATCATATCCTTATTGTGTGAAACTGTGTAGTTATTTGCGTTAAAAATGTTTAAAGGGAAATAATGAGGCAATTCCAATATAAAAAATTAGTTTAGATTTTTAGAACAAGTATAAACCAATGAAATTCAATTATGAGATGTTTAATCAATCATTAAAAAATATAAAATATAGAAATTTATGAAATAACACAAAGAATTATTTAAAATAACGCACTGAGTTGTCTTTCAAAATCTTTAACTGCCAAAGGAGAGCGACTTGTATCCAAGCAAAAACCATTGAAGTCCTCATTTATCTTCTCCAAAGTCCATATACGAACTTAAAAGAACACTATGTTTAAATTTAGACCTCTAAACAGACCTTAGGTTGTTTGGAATCAATATAAAGGGAACTATCCTGTGGTACGGGAAAAATACTTAATTTAGATATTTACAAATACAGGCGGTTCTCATCACCTAAGATCCACAAAAGCAATATTTTTCAGCTAATACATACACTTATATATAGTTAGAACCCAAATCAAGAATAACTATTCAAATCCAACTACGCCTACTGTATTTTATTCATAAAATAATGCATTCAAAATATGAGGTAGAATATCAAGATTCTAGCATGTAATAGTTCTATAGTGGTATACGGTGATATCCCCATACTTAGAGTGGCTAGGATGGTACTTAGTGTTAGCTTTATTGAATAAGAATCAATATCATACAATTCTGAATAAAATTCACACAGTACTCCCCAAATAGATGGGGTTTCCGTAATGTAGTTTTTGTTTATCAATTCAAAATTACCAAAAACCCAGATCATTTTTGTTATAATCTATAGATTTATACCCGACTAAACATTTTTTCTAGGTCCAAATCCATTGATTATCTAATATATTATGTATCCAATTCAAAATTACTTATTATTTTCGAAATTAAATCAAAGAAACGATAGATTTCATGTTAAGTCAAATATTGAAAATTCTTATAGGTATATAGGATAATAAATCGGTTAAGAAATGTCCAAACTTAATCGTTCCACTACTAAAATATCTAAAAAATGTTATTCTAATATATAGGAGTAATAAAAATATCAAATTTTATAAAAAAATGCAGCAATATTAAAAAAATGAACAAAAAACCTAAAAAAGCAAAATACTTTATTGACCTTAAAAATTAACAATACGTTCACATTTTATGAAAAATCTCGATAATTAATATCACGATTTTACTTTTTATGGTAGAAAATTAAAATATAAGATATTCTTTAAAAAATACAACAAACAAATTGCTTTATTTTGCTAAAAATAATTGTTCAGATAAAGTTTTTTTTTAAAATTTATAAAATTTTACATAGGCAAATTACTTAATTGATTCACTGTATGTACTTACATTGAAATTATAGGGAACCAAAAATAATGTTTAACGTATTTGGCAACTTATGCAATCCACCACCAAAACAAATAACATAAATATCTGAATAAAGTTTTTAATTGGTTTAATCAAATTTATATTAATATATATTAATAGGTTAGGTTTCAAAAGTCGAACGTAATACTAAAGAGTACAACTTTACTTGGGTCTAGAAGGTTCCTTTATATTGCCTGAAGAGAATTATGGGAGGAAAAGGGAAGAATTACATACATATATAGTAGAAGAGTAGAGAAAACAAAAGTGTAAAGATTAGGAGGATTAAGAAAGGATAAAATATAGATGCAGTGTCATTACATACTATATTCCGAGATTCGCGCGAATTATGAATTCTCATCCGTTCTAATTGCACGTTTGACAGATCGGTTAAGTCTATCTTAAAGTTTACAATAACGCAGAAGATGATTTTCGGTTTCTTCTTTATCTAACTTTGTGCCTTAAATAGTTTCCAAATATGCAATGTCCAGAGATAACTGATATCAGAGCGCCTAACTGCAATCTACTAGATAGGATGTTTTGTATGCATCGATACGAGGCTGCATCACTCTAGCGATTGAGCATTTATATCTTCGTGTACCTTTACCTAAATAAGGATGTTATTAAATGCCATCTCGTTTAGACTCGTCCGGTATTCTTGGGCCAGTTTTGACACTCGATCTGGCATTTAATAGCAGAAATGCTGATATCCCACTTGGTTATTACATAGTACCTTGCATAGATATCAGTACAATCTTTAAGTCATAGAGAAGTTTTGGTTCCTTATTTCTTAATGAAGTTATCGCCGCCAACTCCTCTATTTGTTCTTGATCTATCAGGAAACAGTCAAAAGTTAAAGAATTGGGAATTGGATATAATAGAGAAGAAACTTTCAGAATATGTTGTAAGAAAAAATCCATAATGAGATCTTCGTATGCCAGAGTTCTAGGAATCGAAAATGATTTATACGGGCAGCGCCTTAGTGCCCGTGGGCTATGTGTCCTGTTCCTCAGAATAGTAAAACCTTTGGTTGTTCATAAAAAGTGTAAAGGATTATGTTAATTCCTTAATTCCAACACTTTTCAAGGACGACATAACATTCAGTGACTCGATTGATAAAGCTAACTTTTTAACTGTATTATTCGCAAGTAATTCTTGCTTGTCGGAAGGCGATCAACCACTGCCTGAGCTCTAAAGGGTATCAATAACTATATACAAATATACTTCCGAATGCGTTAAAAGGGTTTTAGCGGATCTCAAAATAAACAAATTTTCAGGACCAGATGACATACCAGCTCTAAAACAGTGCTCTTCGACACTAACTTGTCCATTGGCCAATCTTTTCAGCATCCTATACCATGCCGGCAAATATCCTGAAAGGTTGCTAATGTAATGTCAATTCCTAAAAAAGAGGAGGCTAACAACCCTGATAAATACCATCCAATTGCAATTTGTTTTACACTTTCCAAAGTCATGGAAAGCTTGTATGGCTTTCATAGAGGGGCTTATTAACTTTCATAAGGCGCCACTGGGTATACTATTTTCTTGAAAGTGAAGTTGTGATATTTCGAAGACATTTGATAGAGTGTGGCATGGTACACTTCTATCAAAAGTTATTTCATTTGGTGTTGGTAATAATTTCTGTCGAGTTATTTCAAACTTTCTCAGAGATCGCACTATACGAATTGATTTCTCCCGGGGAATATTACGATGTTGATCTTCCTCATCTTAGTGATATTACACTCCGAGAGTAAAGAGATGCTACCAATACATCTAGTCTTCATCTTCAGGTCTTCTTATTAACTTATAAAGATATAGTGGATGATGTTGTTCCTTACATATCTATGAGTGGTGTAAATATTAAAGAATCGGAAACCCGTAATGTTCTGGGCATGAGAATATAGTGCGATGTTGGCTGTAAGAAGCACAAAGGGGTTGTGATTATTCGTCTAATAAGCTCACCCTGTGGTTGTAAAAGTACTGCCGTTAAATAGGGCCAATTCGGTAGGTGTTCACGCAATGCACTTCAATTTATGCGAGTTGTCATAGATGGGATTTCATCAAACGAGTTCAAGATAAATTCAGAAGTATCTCAAGGGTACATTATTTCATCTACTCTGTTTCTTATTTTCCTTCTTTATCAAACTTCCAATTATATTCCCGCTACTCTGTTTCTGATTTTCATTAACGACCTTCTTTATCAAACTTTCAATTAGTGAGCAAGTGAGTCGATCGTAAGTCTCAATGTTGCTTCTTGAATCATATACACATGACAGGTGATGTTGTTCCATCTATATCTATGAGTGGTGTAAATATTAAGGAATCGGAAACTCTTGATATTCTGGACATAAAAATACAGTGCGATGTCCAATGGATTTTTCAAGTATCGAAAGAAGTATTCAGGTGTATCGGTTTTTTTTAAAACGGTTTAGGACATATTTCACTCCATCTAATCTCCTCATTATTTATATCACTTATATCCGACTGAAATATGGGACGGAGTTTCAAAGTTTATTTTGGAGCTACTCGACCGCGTACACAATATAGTGAACTTTATTGATTCACTAGAGTATCGTCGCAACGAGGGGTGTATTTCCCTGTTCTTTCGATACCATCTTACTCTGATATTACAGATTTTTTGCACGACACCTGTGAATCGCACAACACATTATGGCAAAATTCAGTCTTCAGCCGTATCGTCTGCATGTAAAACAGACTTCTAGCAAAAATATTCCCCTCCACTTTCGATGTAAAAGCATTTAAATCAAATGTTCACAAACACTACTCTCTCTAATCTTCCTCCTTACAACCTATTTTCCCAGTTCCAGCACAATGCACTGCATGTATAGGGGTCACCCCCGGAGTTCTAGTCCAAGAAACAACAACCAGAAATTTCTATTAAAACATGGCACTACAGGCGTTCCTAAGAAGATTAACAATCTTCGCAATCTATGTTCAGTTAGACTGTAGAGCACATTACCAGATGTCTGGCCAGTTTAGGCGAAACAAGAAAGCAACTCCTTATTGAAACTTTTTCGAGAGCACCAGTTATGTGAAGAGCTGATGATCTCAGCTGTTTGAGATTTTACCAAGTTCATGTCACCACAATACTACTCCGTACATTACTTTTGGTTTAATAACCACCCTAATGTAATTCAGGAATATATAGTTCATGTACATATATATAAATTCTTTGTAAGTTATTACTATTTGGTAAATATGTACTTCAACAAGTGTCAATAATCATTAACAGCTGATATTTTTATAAATATAAGGAGAACTTCTGTATACAAATGGAAGGGTGTGTAAGGATAACATTTATTCAGGGGGTACGTAATCAGGAGCCAAATATCTATATAATATAATATCTACTAATGAGTAGCAATTAAGACAATTTTATAATAAGAATATGTAATGTTAAATTAATTTAATATATCCATATCAATTATGTTTCATTGTTTTATAGATCCGCTAAAAAGAAACATGGGTTTAAAAAGAATCAAACAAAAAGATTTTTATTGTACTCTTTATACGGATGGGGCCTACCAACGCTGATAACAGCCATAACGGTAACATTAACAAAGACCGAAGTTTTAAGCGAAAATATACGACCGAATTTTGGACATGGCAGATGTTGGTTTACATGTAAGTGGATTTATAACTAACAAACCTATTAAACGAGTATTTACTTGAATTCACATTTTTCTTTTGTTCCAGATGATTCTCCGGGTTCGGCAAATCTATTATTTTTCTCCGGTCCCATTGGCTTATTATTTCTCATCAATTTTATTCTCTTCATATTAACGTTGCGCTATTGTAATCGTGTTAAACGTGAAATCTTTCGCATGCAAAGTTCGAATAATGAGAAACCGGTGCTGAAAAGACGTTTCTTTGTGGATAAGGCCAGATTTGCCATGAATACGAAATTGTTTGTGGTAATGGGTATTACATGGTTCCTCGAGCTTTTGAGTATTGTATTTTACGATCACAAAAAGATTTTCTTTTGGGCCATTAGTGATTCGTTTAATGTTTTACTCGGTGTGTTTGTATTCTTTATATTCGTATTTAAAAAACGAGTATGGTATTCGGTTTTGGAGAAAGTTGGTAAGAAACAGTTAAAATTACTTGCAATTGGCAATACTGATTTTAATAACATTCTATTAATTAGGTTTACGAACGAGTGAATCAATGAAGAATGGTCCAATTGGTACAGGTGCTACTCATTCCACTTATACTCAAAATAATATATCGATGACACGTCTTAATGCTATCGATGGCAACACTACACTATTGAGCCCAAATGCAGCACGCCGTATGCCGACTATGTAGACTTGATGACAGTCTAAGTTTCTACATATGCTTTTGTAAATACTTATCATTATTATTACTGTATATTTTGTTCATTTTAATTGTTTTTAGTTTTAAATATGCTTGCATTTATGTATCTATCATTTGTTATTTATTTTTGTTTCATATTTTCCTTATTTCATCATTTTGAGAACAGTGAAATTGAATTCGTTTACATTTTAAGTTAAACATTTGCTTTAAATAATAAGTTCTACATAGTCTAGGGATACATTTTTCTAATATTTATTCTCTATACATTACAAAGAAGATTTTGAATTGGTTTTCTACTTATTAAAGTAATCCTCAGATATATGTCTACATATGTAGTTACCACAAGCGTATGATAGAAATTGCTGTATATTGCTCTTACTAAATATTATGTAGCATCCATAGTTATAAAATTGATTCTGACAAACCTATACTTGTTTGCTGTTATCATTTGTATTGAACACAATATCCAACTAAAATATGATTACAGTGTCCATAGTTGTATGTTAAAGCTATGTACACTCGGTTGTTAGATCTTATAATGTAAATTATAAGTTCAGACGATATTTAAAAATCTTACATTTTGTCTGGCAGACAATATATTTATCTGTCAACAAAAATTGTCAGTTCACACTGTTGTCAGATTGTTGTATGCCAAAAGTTGCCAGATCCTATTTTAAAAATTGTCACACAATTACCTTACAATTATCTGCCAATGGCAAAATAATGTGTTTATACGATTGTCAGTTGTCTGACAATATTATTGTTTTACAATATACTGACTATGCTTTCTCTGTCAAGGTTGCAAGACAAAAATTGTAAGTTCACACTGTTGTTAGACATTAACTGAACATTTTTCTACCAATATTGTATGATCTGACAACCGTGTAACCATGTTCTGAAGTTAAAAAGAAAACATTTATCTGAAAATGATTCCATTATCAGATACATAAAATTAACACATCTGATAATAAAACTTGTCAGAGAATTATCTAGTAATGGAGACGTAATGTGTTTACACGGTTGTTAGATGTCTTACAATATTATTCATTTACAATATACTGACAATGCTTTTTCTGTCAAGGTTGCAAGACAAAAATTGTAAGTTCACATTGTTGTCAGATATTTGCTGAACATTTTTCTGACAATATTGTAAGACCTGACAAACGTCTGACCTGACCATGTCCTGAAAAAAGAAAACATTTATCTGACAATGATTCCATTATCAGATACATAAAATTAACACACCTGGTATAAAAAATTGTCAGACAATTATCTGACAATGGTAACATAATGTGTTTATACGATTGTCAGATGTCTGACAATATTATAATTTTACAATATACTGACAATGCATTTTCTGTCAAGGTTGCAAGACGAAAATTTTAAGTTCAAATTGTTGTTAGACATTTACTGAACAATTTTCGGACAACTTTGTAAGATCTGACAATCGTGTGACCAAGTTCTGAAGTTAAAAAGCTGTGTGTGAGGTCCATATATACGAATTTTGTTAGATTTTATTGTTCTTTAAATTCCACTGTCGTACTTCGGATCAGAGTAAATAGTAAAAGTTTTAGCACTCTCATCCTAAATAAAAGTTTAGTTAAGTTGAGAATACCGTTTATCCCGGCATTAGTTTTTAATAAACTTGATCAAGTTAATTTTAGGATCTCCGAAGTTTCTGCTAGATCTAGTTTCGAACAAAAAGAATCTATTTAAGATGATTTCAGTGGATGGAATGGAATATTGGCAGGTTCTGTCTAATAACGAATTTGGAGACCCAATCACATACCTAGACTGACAATTTCGCGGTCCAAGGATATGGACCGCCTATTTTAGTCGTTTAAGGAAATTCTGCTAGAAAAACTCAGGTTATGCTGATCCAATGCCAAAATCTATAAAGATATAAGAAACTCAATTTTCTGGACTTTTCTAATCAGTGTTCGTGAGGAACGAATCATATACATATCTCCTAAGATATGTGAATTCCTTTGAAAGACTGGAAATGACAATGAAACTATTCCTGAATTTCATGCTCTATCATCGTCTGAATCATCTCATTCAATGTTGTATAATTGTATCCCTAAACCTGTGTGTCCACTTAGAATAAGTTCCATCATACTAACCACAAACTTGTTCATTTTGAGAAGGCTTCTCGTTAGAGTTACCCCTTAGGATATTTGTGGTTTGCCGTTTCTTGTGGTCTTTGTTATCTTCCCCAGGTTAACTCTTTAAAATCTGTATACAAATTCCCGGAAAACTTATACAGAATAAGATTTTTCTATATATTGATTAAAAAATTTGTTTATCATTTGAGGCTTTTATTTATCTTTAATTTAATATCATAATTTTACCTTTTTAACTCCACTGTATGTATTAAAGTAAAATATTTTTCTATCAATATCGCTTAATGATAAAGCAAGCTAAACAGTATTATATGAAATACTAATTTATGTTTTACAAATATTTATTTAAGATCGATTAAGTCCAAATTTATATACAACAAGAAAAGTTAATAGTTTAATGAAAATTTCGAGACTTTATTAAAACTTTTTAATAATTGACATATAGACTCCATACAAAAGCGAACTTTAAATGTTAGTTCATCTTCAAGTTGAATAATTAAGAATCTAGATGGTGTATATTCCCTCATATAGAACGGAATGTGATAACTCAGATTTTTTTTTAACTTTTAAGCTCGCTTTAGTATGTATATTTTATTTAGTTAAATGTTCTCTAAAACATTTTACACACAAAATCATGCCGCAATCACCTTCATCTATGCCTAAGAATAAGCTTAAAACAAAATCGAAATAAATGCTAATAATAAAGAAAGAAAAAAACAAGAAGTGTTCAATTGTGTTTTAATAAAACTATATTTATTATATAATAATTTCGTATCCTCCTTTATTGTACATCATCGACAAACCGAGCGATAATATTGATCCGAAAAGAGGAAACAATGCAATCGCTGAGGTGGCAACGCCCACCGTTGTAAAATTGTTATTGATTAAACTTCGCAATTTATATTGGCAACCCTGCAATGATAATAAAACCAATTATTGTTAAATTAAATAGTTAACAAGTTAGAGTGCTATATTCGGCTGAGCCGAATCTTAAATACCCTCCACCAGCTACTTTTATATTAATACTTTTCTAATTGATCAAATATTTGCAGAAATAAGTTTTCTCATGTCTTAAATAGAAAAAATCCCAAATTTAAACAGCTTAAATCTATTACAATTCCAAGATTTATTAAACATTACAAACGCCATTTTCTTTATATCTTAATAGCGCTTAGCGATATTTAGTAATTTGCATGTATGCGTGTGTGTGAAAGATTTAAGGATTTTTAAAATACATATATATAATTTTGTTCTACACAAATTGATATTGCAACTAGTTAAATACGGTTAAAGCGCTTTTAAAGGCAGGACCTAGTATTGGAGATATGACCAATTATAGACCGATCGTAAAAAATTAAGCAAAATTTCTGTACATAAGAGCTATATTTCAGTCAAATTTTGTATCTATATCGTAATTTTGTAATAAGTTAGGAGTGTTTATGTGATTTTCTGAAGGGAAACTTGTATGGGACCGATCGCACCCATATTATGAACCGATCGTGAAAAAATCTTGAAATAGAATTTTTGTATACAAAACTAGTATTTGTGCCAAATTTTGTATCAATAGCTTTATTTGTATGGGAGCTATGACCAATTATGTATACAAAGACAAAATTTCAAAATTCTGTATCTATATCATTATTTGGTAATGAATATTGTGCATTTAAGTGATTTTCTGAGTATGAGAGCTATGACCAAATATGGACCGATCGTATAATTTATGTATATAAGATCAATATTTTTGCTAAATGTATGGATACCAATATTTGGTAATGAGTTATGTGCGTTTAAGTGATTTTCGGGAAGGAACCTTGTATGGGAGCTATGACCAAGGATGGACCGATCGTGAAAAAATTTTGAAATAACATTTATGTGTACAAAAATAGTATTTATGCCAAATATTTAATGGGTATCACTATTAGGCAATGAGCTATGTGCCTTTAAGTGTTTTTCTGAAAGGGATCTTGTATGGGAGATGTGATCAATTATGGACCGATAGGAAAACAATTTAACAGGAATATTTTTGTGCACATAAGCAATACTTGTACCAAATTTTATATGGATATCTTCATTAACTAATGAGTTATGTGGTTTTAAGTGATTTTCGGGAGGGGACCTTGTATGGGAGCTATGGCCAATTATGGACCGATCGGAAAAAATTTTCACAGTAATATTTTTGTGCATATAAGCAATACTTGTACCAAATTCTATATGAATATCTTAATTTATTAATGAATTATGTGCGTTTAAGTGATTTTCGGGAGGGGACCTTGTATGGGAGCTATGTCCAATTATGGACCGATCCAGAAAATATTTCCTTTGAATGAATTCTATTGACACAAAATTTTAGTATGTAAAATTTTGTGAAGATATCGACATTGTGACGGAAGTTATTAACAAAAAACCCATTTTCTGGGAATATGTACTTTTGTATGGGAGGTATATGAAATTGTGGACCGATCCTGGAAATTTACAGCAGGGATCAAGCTCTCATGTAGAGACTTATGTATGGTGATTTTCATGAATTTATCTTGCATGGTTTGCGAGAAAATTACATCAGAATATGTAAAAAATGCTTATTTTTTTCGAGGTTGTTTTAAATTTTGATTCATAACTCTTCCCGATGTGAACCGATTTTGCTCATTTTCAATACCAAACTGCTTAGGACAACAATGAATATTTTCGGTGAATTTGGTTTACTTCCTTTGCTTCGTTTTAACGTGAGCGTGTTTTAGGCAGACAGACAGACAGACGGACAGACGGACAGACGGACATAGCTAAATCGACTCAGAATTTGATAAGGACCCAGAATATATATACTTTGTTGGGTCTCAGATGAATATTTCTTGGTGTTACACACGGAATGACAAAGTTATATATACCCTCTATCACCACTGATGGTGGTGGAGGGTATAAAAAGGGTTTTAATAGTTTAAATAACTTACAATTTCATAAACATTATTGGCATCTGTAGTTGTTTTGTGAACACTCATTCGCTGAGATCGGAAGCAAGACGATGGTATGGAATTTTGTGGCCAGTCAAGGAAACTTTCATTGCCGCAACATTGTAGCTGAAATTGAAAAAAAATTCAAAATTTATTTGATTAAAATAATATGGAATCTCCTTGAGGTGTTTTTAGCATTTTTAATATAAAATTTTGGAAATAAAAAACACATTGTTTATAGCATTTAATTAAAATTAATTGTTATTAAAATTGCTCCTTGCCTATCTTATTCTTATATCAGTTAGTCGTTGAACTCTCCTATAGAATTAAATGTTTATTTATTTTAAATTAACAATTATGGCGTTGCTATTTGTTAAATCAGAAAATTTCGGACTTAGATTGACATGCATGTTTACAAATATAAAATTTTTATAAGCGATTATAGAAGTCTTTTGTTTTTCGAATTCGCGTACCACAATCATTCAGTGGGACTGATATGAAATTAAGTTGAATTTCTTTAAAACGTTCATACATACATACATATTTCAAAATGATAATCGAAAGCATTATAGTAAATTTTTTAATGTTTGCCTTAGGTAATGGGCATAAATGGATTAAATCATGTAAATTTCCAACTTTTCTGCGCTGATAAACGCCAAAGAATAAACTTTCACAAGGGCCCTGGTTGAATCGTTCGAGGATAGCTGCCCTCTGCGAGAGCGGAGATCTGCCCAGGAGAAACCCTGGATACCTGGGGAGATCCGGAACCTTGAGAATACACTTCACAAACTATTTAATCGGGCACGGCGTAAAAAGACCGCAGTATACAGGGATGAGTATCGTAGTAAACTTGGTGAATAAAAAAAAAAAAATTATTCGAAAAGCCAAACGAGACTCCTGGAAACTTTTCTTTGAACAGGTAGATAGCGTAAATGACGTATCGAAGATAAAAAACTATCCAAAACTCATGTCCAACCGGAATCTATAATCGATAATACGGGGAGGAGGCTGGAGGATATGGAGGAGACAATGAAACACCTAATAGACTCTCATATCCCACCCTTTATATCGAATAACTTTGATGAACCGATGTTGGAGGAAGGGGAGGCTGATATGGTTAAAGGGGCAATCAAGAGTTTTGCTAAAGCTGCTGGGACGGATGGCATTTTTCCGGCACTTTTGCAGATGGAGGCGGGACTGGTTTCCGTACATCTGTTTGTCTGGAAACCTAGCTATGCGACACCTAAGTCCTATCGACCGATAAGCCTTACATCCTTCCTACTTAAAACCTTGGAATGGATAGTGGATAGTATGCTTAAAACCGGTATACCAGACAATGACCTTAAATATAAGTAGCATACTTATGTAAAGGGACGATCGGTGAAAAGCGTTTTAAACGAAGTTTTCCACTACATAGGTGAAACCTTCGATAGCTAACTGTATACATATGCATTGACATAAAAGGCACCTTCATAACGTGCACTGTTACTCTTATCCAATCCCTAGAGCAGTTTTATGTTGACTGGGTGCTCCGTAACAGGATCAACTACAAGCTAAGGAACAGATGGATAAGCTGCGAGATGTACGATATAACTATGAGGCAAATGGTATATCGCGGTATACCACAGTGTGGCATTTTGTCACCTTAACTCTGGGTAACCACGATTAATAGCCTCCTAAGGACCCTAACCGAGAAAGGATTTATAATTGTCTGCTACGAAGACGATGTCGTAATACTTTTAAAGAGAAAAAATCCAAATTATTTGTGTAGAAGAGCTGAGGAGACTCTGAATACGGCCTTGAGCTGGGCTCAACCGAGAGGCCTCAATGTTAACCCGGCGAAGACGGAAATCTGTCTTTTCACAAGAAATACAGACAAAGTTAAGTACTTAGGTGTAATCCTTGACCGGAAATTTAAATGGAGACATCATATAGAGGATAGGATCAACAAGGTGCTGGGGGATTTGTAGGAGAACTATAGGGTCTTAGTCCTACTATGACAAATTGGCCTTATAAAAGTGTAATTAGACTAATTCTAGCTTATTCTTCAATAATCTGGTGGACTGCTTTGAACAATAAATGTAATATCAAACTACTACAGGGAGTTTAACGTACATGCTGCTTGGGTATAAGTGGTGTATTGTTGACTACTTCAACCAAGGCTCTGGAAACGTTTCTAGATATTCCACCCATTGAAAAATATTTAAGATATGAAGCGTCGCTTATAGCCGAACGGCTCTTTACTTTAGGATACTGGACACATTAGAAGGTTATACACAATCATCGGACTTTGAAACGCTGATACCAGATCGAATGTCTTGGCCAAACGGAACATTAGAGCAAATACCAGTAGGAATCCGCTGTTACACGCATGGCTCTAAATCGGTAGAAGTGGGCCTGGGGTTCTATACTGAAGACCCAGAAACAGAAATATACCATCGTTTACCTAATCATAACACAAGCTTCCAGGTAGAAGTCCGAGCAATGTGTAAATTGAATTAGAATAAATATGGCGCCAACCCTTTTTGAGACGTTATAACAGCTCCAATAGAACTTTCAATAAAGACTTAATATTTGACAATCTTCTTTATTCTTTAAGAAATCCTCATCTAAAAATTAAGAACTCATAGTTTTTGGTATATTCATGGTTTTCATAACCTGAACTACTATAGTGAGGAGAGTATCATGTTTTGTAAATATTGTTTATAACGAATAAAAATATGGGATCCACATCTATCAGACAATGTTCCAATTGACTGAAAATCACTTTTT